ACAAAAAATCGCTATGAAAACTTCGCGTCAGCTATCCAACGCAATTTGTTTTATGGAAATTCGATGCCGGGGCGAAAAGTGATGATTTTTTAAAATATCCCTCACAGAACCCCCCCTCCGCCCAGAGCAATTTTTTTGGTGCGGCGGGTGCAAGTGGTCTACTCGGGAGGGCAGTGACATGTATGCTGCTGTACAGCAAGCAGTCGTGCACTTTAGTAGGAAACATAAATACACACACAGAAAAACTACCCGTTCGAGATACACCCACACACCCACAGTAGTCGAACGTGACGATTAATTTACGTATGTATTACATTTGTTGTCGCGATTTTCACAAGGGCACATTGAAAAAAACTCGCCTTCAACAACACATCAGTAGTACCGAGATCGTACGTAGTTGTGAGAAGGCGACGATGTCTTGCCAAGACAAAGCACTTTTCCGACTGTTGTTTTTATTTTTCTAAATGTGAGGGACGCGAGACTGTCTCCAGGTTCTGCGCTGCTAGCATGTTATTCGTGATGCAATGTGGGTAGCATGTAAAACCACGCTCTAATAGGGAGGGACATCGCGGAAAGGGACTGAAGCTAAAAGCTAAGTATAGAGGTCGAGAGTGAGAGAGGTGCAATGAGAGCGAGGTCACCTGACACGTCACATCTGCTATGTAAGTACTCAGTAGACATTCTGAGGTGACATCCGTCGCACAGACGCATAGAATACCGTAGACGACACAAGATAACACAGCCCGGTGATAACATTTTGGGCTTTAAAAATATTATCACCGGGTGTGGTATCCTGTGGGGGGTGTGTTATCTTATGTAGCCCCGGTGATAAAGTGCAGCTCGCTTGGGCCCTTAAGAGGGTGTGATAAACCAGGGGGTGTGATAGCACGTCCGAACACGCACGGGTGTGTTTTGGGTGTGATTAATGAGGGGGGGGGGCGTACTCATTTGTTGCTTGCCGTAGTCATTAGTCATTTGACCATTGACCACGCGTCCCTTTCGAGACGGAGCACCTTTCCTACACCTACTAGAGACACCACCAACATTTGGGAGCTCTTTACGTTTCTGCCACAAACTCCATAAAAATTTCTTGCACATCTTATCCCCGTCCTCTAGGGCCTCTTGTGCCCACCATCTATCCCCAATTATCGCGATCGTTTTTTCGCTGTTGTCTAATTTACCAAACTTGTCCATGTCACACCCTCTCTGTCTCATTTCCTCCTCGAGATCCTCTCTTTCCTTCCTGTACAACTCACACTCCCCAACTATGTGGGGTCTACTCTCCTCCGATTTGCCACATGGACATGTGTGTCTATCCTCCTCTTCCTCTCTCCTACGGCTGGTATACCTCTTCCTCCGTTCTGGCAAGTCCAGATCGCCTACTCGAAATTGCAATTTCAGCTTTTTCGCATAGTCCATGGGGCCGTCCAAGTACTTCTTCATCCCTGATTAATGAGGGGGGGGGGGGTACTCATAGTCGTGCATGCCGTAGTCGTTAGACCATTGACCTCGCATCCCTACAAAGCCGGGACGGAGCACGCCGGGTTCTCACCGGACCAGGCTCTCACATCACCAAGCGCGAAGCGCCGTGAGGTATTCGGCGAGTCGCATGAAGGGTGCGCTGCATCCTGCTAAGGGTGTTCGGCATCTTGTGCTTACTTCCTTGCGTACGGATGACAGCTGCGTATGACTTAATTTATTTTCTGGTGCTTTCACTTCCAGAGACAGTTAAAGCACTGTATAACTGCCTCGAGGACGCTTGACCATTTCAACACAGCGTGGTGCGATCATCCCCCTTGCGCGGAGTGAGGGTTCTCGACCCCGCACAACATGATCTACTCGACCACCATTTATGTTTACCGCCAAAAAAAAAAACAAGATAAAAAAAAAAACGGTAACCTGGTTGCCGAGCTCACGAAGTGAATTGGCTTGTTTTACAACGTCGTTGCCAAGCGACGAAAACCCAACCCCGATGGCAAACACCGGGGGGGCGGAGGGGGATTGATAAAAAGGTGTTGTAACACTTGTTGTAGAGTTGAACCGCTGCTGCCGCACATTTGGTTGGTATTTATTGCGGGGGTGTGATAGCAATGCCTGTATTGTATGAACTACTAGCACTTCATGGCTTGTGGTTCTGCGGAATGTGGTAAAACAAAGGAGCTCAACGGAGGTGACGAAACTCCTGTGAGCATATGACTCGGTGGCCACAGAGTGCGTCATCCGTCCTGCCCCCTGACACAATAAAGTAGGCTCCTGCATACCTTGCCATTGGGTACGACCAAAAGAGAGTTACGCAGATGTTGTGTGTGTGAGATACCCACGTGTCCACGGGGCAGATGTTGTACCACCCCGGTGATAGACGTAGGAGCCTGCAGCGTAACCTCATGGGTGTGCTATCTTATGTAGCCCCGGTGATATATCGATGGTTTGTCAGAAACGCCGAAAATTATCACCGGGGTGTCGTTTTCTGTGGGGGGTGTGGTTTCTTATGTGGGTGTGTTATCTTGTGTCTACGATAGCTAGCGACGGCAGTGGACAGGGGAGAGCTTTTATTTTTAAAATAAACTTGACCTATGCGCAATATCCACAGATGTCAGCTAATCCGCAGGCATGCAGCATACCTACAAAGGTTGTCATCGATAATAGTCTAGAGGTTGAAACACATTCGTCGGCCTCTATCCATCGATGAGCATCTATCCATGGATGGGTGTAAAGAGTGTCTATAACGCCTTTATCGTATGCAAAAAAGAGACATGTACCAAACTTAGCATACACTACATACCTGCATGAGCTTCATGTGCGCGCCCTTGACGCTGCTGAGGCGGCTAAGGTCCGGCCTCTTCAGGTGATCCAGCGCCAGCTGCAAGCGCTTGGTCCGTATCTTTTGACGGGGCACAAAGGTAGAGGCATGCATAGGTGTCGTCGGTAGGGGCACACATGAGCATGGGTTCGAGCAGCAGAAGCAGAATCAATCAAGGCAGCAGGGGAACCAAACAATCGGAATTCCTGCGCACAGAGAGTGCACACAAACAAACAAAGGGGAAGATGTGCCACTGCTGCTTTTGCGTCATATGTGCCATATCCTGGTAGCAACAAGTTTTCAAACGAGAAAGCCAGTGACCAGCAACAACCTTTGCATGGCCCGTTCAAGAGGCAAAGAGCAAAGAGCCCCGCCGAACCGCCGAACCGCCGAACCGCCGCGCAAAATCGACCCCACGACGAACTATGTAGCTGGGAGGCCGGCCAAAACACTCCCATTTGCAACACGCTCTCTCACGGCGGAGCAGAAAGCAGCGAGGAAAGTGCACAAACACACACACGGACCAAGACTGACGTCTTTTCATTGGTGAGCCGGTTAGCGCGGTCGACGCTAATAATAAAGACACACACACATCACATGCGACGACGACCTACTGCTGTAGACACAGGCATAGACGTATTTTAACCGTACTCCGGGCACTTGCGACGTGGGGCGGCGGGGACTGAGCTTACGCCATGTATGCATGCACGCATGACTACTACTGGCTGCACGCACGCAGCAGAAGCAATATCTTGCTACAAATGTAAATAACATAAATCTCCACTGAAAAGACTCCACCACATCCCGTTCGACTGCTGTGGGTGTGTCTCGAATGGTAGTCTTTCTGTGGGTGCTTTTAATTCTTCCTTAATAAATCTTGGCTGCATCTCACCTTCAGTTCGCCCTCGTTCTCCAAGAAAAAAATGCGGCACTTGTCTACCTCCCTGAGGAGAGCGCTGAAGAACGGGCACTCGCATTGCCGCCGCCGCTGCAGCAGCAGCCCCTGCTGTGCGTCCTGTTGGGTAGCAGCAGCCCCTGCTGCTGTGCTATCATCCCCAAGCGCCGCCGCCGGGCTGGCTGCTGCTGCGCCACTGGCGTTGGCGGCGGCAGCTGCTGCTGATGCAGCGCAAGACGAAGACGAATTTCCGCAGCATGCAAGGACAACGGCGGTGGAGGAGGAGGCAGTCTCACGAACACCGGACGCCGTTTCTAGTCCATCGCGACAACTATCCCTGACGCCGCAGGCAAGTTTCTTGTCCTCACGCGGAGGCGTGCCGCTGCCGCTGCTGGTGCTGTTGCTTTCTCCGTTGACGGCGCGGTCACCTGTTGCTGCTGCTGCGCGGGGATTGCAGGAGAGGACAGCAGCAGTCAACGCCACCCCCGCCGCCGCCGGCTCTAATTCCTCCCTTGTTGTATTCACCGATGCAGCAACCCCCTCCGCACCACCGCGATGACTTGCGCCATTCTCCGTAGCAGCAGCAGCAGCCATGGTTGACGTCCCCGTTGTTGATGCTGGCGGCGCGGCCGCCGCTGCGTCCCAAGGCTGGGCGCGCAGGAGGCTAGCAGCGGCGGGCAAGATGGGAGCGGCAACTGCGGAAGTTTTACTCCTCTTCTGCTGCTGCTCCAGGCAGCGACCATTATCGTCATTAGGTGTGCTGCCGCCCCATTTACTTTCCTCAGGAGCGATGCCCGGTCTCCGCGGGGGGGCTAATGCTGCTGCTGCTGCTGCTGCTGAACTTGATTCTCCTAAGGGGGAGCTGCTGCTGTTGTTAGAGGCCGCCGCCGCCGCCGGTTGCTTCAAGACCTTCTTGAGCTGCTTGTAGTTGACCCAGAACGGGTGCCACTCAGGGTCGGAGACGTCCATCGCCCTTGCGAGGTGCTTGGCAAACTTCATAGTCTAACCTCTATTTGCCGTGTCGATGTCGGTTGATGTGCGTGCGCGTTCTGACCCGACCCGCAAAGCTCTTGTTCCTTCGCCCCCTTCTTCCCGTGCTAATGGTTGACGGCCAGCACAGAACGCCGCTGTCGGCAGTGTAGTCCGACCACCAGACTCGTGCCCTCCGCCCCTCCTGATCGGCAGGGAAGCTTGCGCGCTGCCGTTCTTGAACGGCAAGGCGTGGAAAAAATCGAAAGACCCCGCGGCTGCAGGCAGCAAGTCGGACACCTGCCGTATGCTTATATCACGTGTCAGGGACCCTCGTCACACGTTCGTGCGGCCACGGAGCGACCTCCTGTCGAAAACTCGAAAAGCAAAGGATGTTGAGCGTTGTTCCGAAGGTTGAAGCAAGCCACAGGGACGGAGCAAGTGTCGTGAAGAAGTTGTGCAGAAAGGTGAGAGCAAATGACACACGCATGCGAAGCTTGAGCAGCTGCCCAATCAGCTGAGAGAGGGGGCTCCGCAGGAAAATGGAAGTACGTACTACACGAGGACCCGCCGCTTGTGACACTGAAATGTAGACGAGACCTCTGCAACGGGCGCGAAATATTTGCAATCCATGGATTATAGAAGAGAACCACAGTCCAAACATCCATATGGATCGAAACCCCGGGAAACCGCCCGGAGTGTCCCCGAAGAGGTTCTTCTCCCTCTCCTATAAAAGCAGCGATAATCACGGCGGCGGAGAGCCGTCTGAAGGCGGCGACACGCACCCGCACGCTGGGGGAAGACGAGGAGACAACACACAACGATAACTGGTGAGATCCCGTCCCGACAGGCGTCCGTGCATCCTCTGTGTCTGTGCCTCACCCTCACCCTCTCTGTGATGTTTTTTTTGGAAATAAAATAGCAACGGCCGCACCCGCACCAGCGCCATGTGTGTGTTGGTCTGTCTCCTGTGTTGCAGCCTCCCTCATGCTGTCCCACGTGTCGATGCTGCTCTGTACCTGTTGTTGCCGTCGTACGTACGTTGGTGATCATGTGCCTGCACTGGTGTGGTCAGGCCAGGCCAGGCCCTGCCTGTTGTCCTTGCCGTATAGTCCGGAGTCTTTTCTTCTGGCTGCTCGGCTGTATGGTGGTGCTACAGCAGTGCTGGGCTGGTAGAGGTGCAGGCATTGTGCACGCACTTGCCCAACCCCTTAACTTCATGTGTCTACCCTCCATGTTCGCGTCGTGGGACCCGTGGCCTGCCGTGCGGTAGTGTCATTGCTAGGAATGCTTCCATCCAGTGCTGCTCTGTCGGCCTCTTACGGTGCTCGTCATGCTGGCGCTGCGGGAGCCTTTGCGGGCTACCCTGTACAAGCCCACCCCGTACAGCAACAACAGCAGCAGATATTGACCACCAGCCCTCCGCCGGAAACGCAGGCGAGACGGGTTGATGTTTGACAAGTGCGGTTCGACGTGACACCGGCAATGTTTGTTCCGTGGGTGTAGCACGCCAGTGGATTGTCGCTGCTGTGCTGTACCTCGTGCCTTTCAACGCGTGCACGTACGGTTCGCTGTTTTCGTGTACTCAGCGGTGGACGGCGAAACGTTTCATTTGTCTTGTCTTGTGATCAAACGTTGACATGGTGTCCTTCCATTCCGCCGCGTGGTGGGTTTCGCGTGCGGTTGCAGGCCATGCTTTCACCTCGCACTGGTCTGCCGTTGGGAACTCCGGCCCCTGTGGGTGCTCCCGATGCTGGGGCCGCCGGAGGTTTTGCGGGCTACCCTGTACAAGCCCACCCCGTACAGCAACAACAGCAGCAGACATTGACCACCAGCCCCCCGCCGGAAACGCAGGCGAGACGGGTTGGTGCTTGACACGTGCCGTTCGGCGTGACACCCACAATGTTTTTTTGTGTGCTTTACTTGATGTTGCTGCTGCTGTTCCCCTTGGCCCCATGAAAAGAGCACCGGTATCTGGCATTCCCCCGGTCCACATCAAGGCTCCCTGTAGAGGCCCTGCCATTGTTTTCGTGGGTGTAGCACGCCAATTGATTGTCCCTGCTGTGCTGCACCTCGTGCCTTTCAACGCGTGCACGTTCGGTTCGCTGTTTTCGTGTACTCAGCGGTGGACGGCGAAACGTTTCATTTGTCTTGTCTTGTGAATCAAATATGGGGCAAGGAAGATTGAACTCGTTGGAGTAGGTCTGCAGTGGCTCCCGTCGTATCCCACGGTTTGTCATGGTTGGTAGTCATGATGCCGCATGACGAACGGCCCTTGAAGCGTGGTACTGCTGTCGCCTCCACATTGTTACCCTGTTTGTCTGTGACACGCCACTTATTTTTGTGCTCCCGGCTCTCCCATACGGCGCAGGTCATGGGATGAAGCCAAAAGAGGTGACGAAAGCAATGAAGGCGTTGCACGAGGACAGCGACATCGACATCAACAAGCGCGCGGTGCAGAACGCAGCTGCCATTGTGCACGGGGCGGAGAAGCCGAGAGATGCTGCCGATGCGTACGAAGAGGTGTGTCCATGTGTCCGTTGAGACTGTTGCCTCTCTTGTTTGTGTGTGGGATGTTGGGTTTTGCTCAAGGCGGTATCCGGGCGACAAGACACATACGATCGCAGGTGACAACCGGGAGAATATATGCCCCATGACACCAAACCAAGAAATGTTGGAGGTAAAAAATGTGTGCCGTGCCGTCGTCGTGGTTTTGCGCTGATGCCCTCGATGTTTCCGGGCGCTTAACATGTTGCAATTTCAGGTCATGGCCGCGACGGCCGACGGCGGAGTGTGCGAGATCAAGATGGATGACAGCGGCCGCCTGACGCACATCTGGTGGCAAACGAGAGAGCAGGTAGGTCGCCGGTCGTTGTGCCCCATACGAATATTCCCCAGCCGGAAGGTTTGCTTTCATTTTAGCATCTCGCACGTACCGCTTCGCCGTCCGCAAATGTAGGACGTCTGACCGAAAGCACGCCGTAGGCAAGGGTGGGGGTGCGTTGTGACGCGTCCAACACACGTCACACCCACAATTAAGTGCTCTCGATCCCCTTCGACGTCATGCTCCGAATACGCAGGTGGCGCTTTGGAATCGGTACGGTCACGTTGCGCTCTACGACGACACCGCTGTCAAGAACAGATACCGTATGCCTCTCGGTGTGCTCGCTGTCGTCGATTCGGAGTATCGGACGCGGATCGTCGGCCAAAGCATAACGGCCGACACCACAACGGACACTTTCCTGTGGATGTTGAAGAGTGCGTTGGAGTCTCGCGGGAAGCAGCCGGATACCTTCATCCAGGACGCGGACGCGGCGATGACGGCGGCGGTGCGAGAGGTGTTCCCGGACGCGCTGGCGAGGCGCAATTTATGGCACCTCAACCAGAACGTTATCAAGGCCCTCGCTAAAGTCCTTGGTGGGTACATGAAGGTGCGCTCTACTGTGTGTGTTGGCGTGGTTAGTCTGGCCTCTCGTATTGTCCTGGTCGCGCGACGTACGCTGCCCACTCTAGCCCCCCTCCCCCACTCCCGCTTGTATCCCCTGTGCGAGTTGGTGCGTTGTCATGGATCAGTGTCGCCTACTTGGAAGAGTGATATCCAGCGTCTCTGCGTAGACCGTGATGCGGAGACGACCTCGGCTTCGACGGAAACATACCTCACGACGTCCAGTGCACACAGAAAAAGCAGCAGCAGCAGCAGCAGGTTGTAAGCACCAATGGTATGTCGCTGAGTTTTTTCAACCCTCTCCTCGTCTCGCCTTAGCGCTAACGAAGTGTACGGGGTTGTTGGTGGCAGTCAATCGTTACAGACCGGTAGCCCATATCGCAAAGGCCCCAACTCACGCAACACCCACCCGGCCCACGTCGTTTGTGTTTTCCGCAGCCTTTCATGGACGAGTTCAGGTGTGTGCGTCAGCAGCTGTCATTGGCGAAGTTCGAACGGAAGTTCAACGCCCTCATCGAAAAGTACCCGAAGGCGGAGAAGTACATGCAAGTAGTATATGACGACCGTGCACGGTGGGCGGAATATGTGTCGCCCCTGGTGTTCTCCGTGGGTTCGTGGACGACATCAAGAGTTGAAGGTGCGTGTATGCGTCATCTGCCATCATGAGCGTTTTGTTCGAGAACGACAGCGCATATAGCGTTGTCGTTGTTTTTGGGAGTTTTTCTACGTTCTGTAGGGGTTGGGGGGCGGCTATCTTCCTTGCCCCCCTATTTACTATGCCATTGGTGAGTGCTTCTGGACGAATTTATCGTACGCCGTCAGTGGATGACCAGTAAACAACTCCCTACATGACGCTAATGTTTACGACCTCTTCGAAACATGTGGCTGTTGTCCGGCCCCTGTTGTTCGGGATTGATGTACTTGGTCGGTGCACTGCGATCGTCCGGCTCACGTGTACATACATCTGTGGCGATGGGTGCGTCAAGTCATAGGCTTCTCTTTCAGTCGTTTGGCGTACTGCGACTTCAACGATGTCTGATGACACCAATCACTAACCTACGGTTTGGTTTGTGTGTCGCTTCTTGCGTGTTTGTCCGCCGCACACACAACAGGCCAAAACGCCCTCATCAGGGATAGGTGCAACTCGCGCTCCTCGCTTTTGGACGTGGCGAAGTACTTTTCGGGCATCATCTGTTCCCAGAAGGATGCCGCCATGCTGCGTGACGCAATCGACCATCTGCCGCCTAATCGGATGGCGGCTCCACCAGCGACCGCTTTCAAGAGTGTGCTCGAGTCCTGCGAGTTCTCCATCGCGGGCTGGCCGCGGCGGTTCATGGAGCAAGAGATGACCGCGGCCATCACGTTTTGCCAGATGGGTGGTGGGGAGGTGGATGGACCAGAACGCGCGGCAGCTTCGGGGCGCACGTTCGAGTACATCGAGGACAAGCTTTGCGACGCCATTTACGTCTTCGGGATTCACGAGCAGCGTGATGACAAGGCCTTCGACTACCTCGTCTTGCTCTTTTCCGACGGTAGCCATCTCTGCCAGTGCCGCACACTCCAAACTCTCAGGCTATTTTGTCGCCATGTGTGGGCGGCGATGATGTACAGCCCCCGATTCAGATTCCACGTAGGCCTCCTGCACGAGCACTGGCTGACGGAAAAGGCGAGGGGAACACCGCAGCAGGACTGGCCGGATGTCGCCCGCCCTCGGTGGGTGGTATCCAACCGCCACGCTGCGAGAGAAGTGGACGGGGCGGCGGGAGAGGGAGAGGGAGAGGGGGTGGGGGGATGCAGCGGGAGATGGAAGTCTTTCGTTGGGAGCAGCCAGACGGTGCAGACGGTCCTGTTGGACTTGAAGGAGAAGGGGCCCACGGACCAGGATAGACAAGTGTTGTACGCCGACGTAACGAAGAAGCTCGGGCAAGCCGCGAGTATTTTGTCTGATCGCTTTTCACCGACAGTCGCCGTAGCCCTCGTGGACCAATTTCTGACGATGGTCAATGTGCAAGCAGGCGGGGTAGGAACTACAACGACGGGAGGGCGGGGGGCGGCTCTCTTCATGGCCAACCCTGGAACTGTTCGCCTGCCCGCTAGGACAAGTAATAAAAGACGACCTGGCGCTGCAGAAAGATACACAAGAGGGGGTAGCAAGAGAGCCGCGACTTCGGGGTCCCAACTCTAGTTTCGGTGTTGCATACTTTGGGGTACGTGAGTAGCGGTACGCGGCCCTAGGTTTACGACGTCACCGGGGCATATGCCTGAACGATGTTTTGTCCCCCCCCGGCGGCAGGTCAAGGCTCGGTGTGTTGTTTATTTTTCGCTTCGGCGTTTTTGCGCCGATCGCCGTCTGTGATGTTGTCGATTTTGTGTTTGTATGTCTATTTGGTTGTTGCGGTGTAGCGTTCGATGGGGCCATCTGGTTCCTGTCCTGTTTTTATTTCTTTTGTTCCATTTCCTTTTCTTTTCTTTCTTCCGCCCCCTTTTTTGCCGTGTTGGGGTCATATCCAGGTCCTTTCATTTTTTTGGTGGGGGTCAGTCTATCATCAAATCGCTGTTGGATATTGATTGTTCTGTTTTGTTTTTTTCTGCGTCTATCTGTGCTTGTCGACCTGTGTGCTCTGCGAAGAAAACCGTGTGAGCCGCGTCTCGAGTTTGTTGAGCGGGCCTGCGGTGTGCGAACTAAACGATGCCTACAGATTTTGACGGCCCCATGATGACTGACATCCATCACGGCAGCACCGTGCAGCAGGTTATATCTACCAAAAAAAGAATACTGCTGTATGTAGTTCACAAAATCTACAGCAACAATTGCTTGCAGCAGCAGAAACGCACAACAACAGCAGCACCACACGCGGATAGACACACACACAGAGAGAGACGAGCACTCCTCTAAGTACGGGGCGTTGTGTGTCGTCGTGTCCTCCTGTTCCTCTGAGGCCTAGCGTCTCCTGGGCATCCCGGGTGCGAAGGGTGGCCTTGGCGTGAAATATGTGCCAGTATGGCAGTATGGACTGTTGAGGCTGTTGCTGCAGACGAGAGCTCTGCTTCCGAAGACAACGGGCGTTAGATCCAGGCTCCGAGATAATATTGAATTTGAGAGGGAGAGAGGAGAACCTCTTCGGGGACACTCCGGGCGGTTTCCCGGGGTTTCGATCCGTCCGGATGTTTGGACTGTGGTTCTCTTTTATAATCCATGGATTGCAAATATTCGCGCCCCTCTGCAACACAACAACCGCCACCGCCGCAGGCCCACACAAAGGTGTAGCAGTACTACGTACAAAACGCGCAGCGTTTCTCGCACACGTTGGTGTACAAGAGCGTGTGTTTAGGATTGGACAGGCAAAGCGCGTTGCCGATCTCGCCCCTCGTGGGGGGTGTGTGGGAAGAACAGCAGCGGCATCATCATGCGGAGAATGTTCTTGACATTTACGGCCGTCCTCGTAGCAGTGGCCTGCGCGGGGCTGTCCCGAAACGCAGGGAGCAAGTTCGTCAGGTGCGTTTGAGCGAGCGCAAGCCATGGGGCTCTGGGCCTCTAGTGCGCAACGGCTTTGTATTTCTGTTTTGTGTCCATGGAAATCAGGGCGTGTACTAACGTCCCTTGATGGACAGGGAACAGGGAATTCTGTTCCCTGTTCCGTGTGGTTGTGTCCTAACATACACCACATTTCCAGGAACACGGAACGTTTCAGTGCGCGCTTGGGGCCCGCAGGTACTCGAAGGCAACAAATGCAACCATTGGATGCACAAAGACGAGTGGGAGGTAGACGGTAGAGGGGGGGTGGTGATGGTGTAGTTTTGAAGGAAGCTGTTGACGAGCGCACATCAAACACATGTGTTAATAGGTATCGGCTAGAACAGGCGGTGCTCGTCATGCAATCCGCACCCTCGACAGTGCTCTGAAAGGCATGCATTTTTGAGGTGTGGTCCACGGCAGCTTGCCGTTTCTTTGACACTTTAGGTTCCCCCATACAACGGCTACACGAGCATCCACCGCCGTTTTTTTTGCATGCGAGACATCTGATTATTGTGGCGATGCCTACACGGCTTGCACCGGTAGCATGCAACGCCTGTCACAGCCGCATGCCCGAGAGTGATCACACACACACACACATCCCACCACGTCCTGAATTGCCACGGAAGAGTCCGTGTTCCACGTTCCCTACGGCCTGTTGGCTAATTTTAACTCCCGAGGGAGTTAAAATTATGGTGCGGCATAACTACCTCAAACAGGGAATGTGTGTGGCATTTCTTGTTTCCAGGAAACTTTTTTGTGTGGCTGACCAATCAGGCAATAATTCCGAGTTCCCTGTTCCGTGTTCTCTGTCCAGAAAATGGACGTTAGTACACGCCCCAATAGTAAAAGTACACTTTCCATGCCGTAATCTCCTCTGAACTCCAACGGTTGACGCGAATCCCATCGAATATACCCATGGCAGGAACTCAACTTTTCCACGCAAACCAGCAACGGGGGGAGCATGGTTGTTGCAGTTCAAGTTCCACGCCAACCGCACGCCTTGCGAGCCCCCTTTCAATGATCGGGGAGGTGTTAGGTCTTCACGGAAAAATCGCATCTCGAATTTACACTTGATTATGAGAATACACGAGTCGGATCTACCTAAATCCGAACGAAAATGGCCTGTGTGTCTTATCGACGAAAGTACGGACGAGAATTCTTCCAACAACGATTCTCCCTTGCACACATACGAAGGGACCGAACAGTCTGGTTTGACGACAGTCCCGCGGTGACGCAATCCACCGCCACAGCACTGGACACACAGCATTCCGCACACATCGCACGCGACCATGGCGCGTCCTCCGCGCAGCCACGCTCGAAGGAGCTCCTACAAGAGAGGCCAGAAGAAGAAGCCCATGCAGATGCTGCTGCAGATTTTGCTCGTAATGGTTTTGACGGACGACGACAGCGATGCCCCCGCACACCGCGACGACTTTGTGTATCGGGAGCGGAGGTCGTTCTACACGTTTGTGCGACCCATGGTCGAAGACAACACGTTCAGGAAGCGCTTCAGCATGGATTACACCGATTTCATGACCCTGGCAGACATCCTACGTCCCAAGCTTAGAAGGGACGAAAAGATGGGGGCTCTGCGCAACGGAGCTATCCCAGTGGAGTTTCAGCTGGCGATGACTCTCCGCTTCTTGGCAGGCGGGAGTGTGTTCGAGATCATGGACTCGAATGTCATCGCGAAAAGCACGGCGTATGCCATAGTGCACCTTGTAATCGATGCCATCAACCAGACCAGGGAGTTGGATTGCAAATGGCCAGAAGGGGACGAGGCCGACGCCCAAGCCGAGCTGTACCGGAGGCGAAGCACGAACGGCGTCATCCGAAGATGCGTGGGAGCCATGGACGGGCTGTTCGTGCGGTTGATCCAGCCGTGCCTGAAGAGGCACTGCAATCCCGGATCGTTCTACACTGGACACAAGAAAGCTTTTGGCATGAACTTCCAGGTGCGTTATACATAGTTCGGGGTGGTCCCATACATGTATACTGCTGTAGACAACACTGTATACAGCAGCCGTGCGCGGACACACAAGGGCACCGGATACGACACAAGATAACACACCCCCTGGACCAATTTTCAAAACTCGTTTACAGTAGTCCACGACGGAGAGGATGCATGCACGAAACGATCCTTATTCGGAGACTTGCCGATGAGACGGCTTCAACGCCGCCGTTTTCGGCGCTTCGACTCTTTGTGCTGTTGTTCAATCGAATACTTTATCAAAAGCGAGCTTTGAAAAATTGGTCCTTGCCGGGGTTGAGTTTTATTGCGTCGTGTGCGGTACCTGTTTCTGTTCTGTCTGAGATGCGCATTCCATGTTGCCGCACGAACCGCTCGCGCCAGAACGTACGGTCATATTTGCGGTTAGTGTTACTGTCGTCTCTCCTGCCGTGCCATGACGTTTTTCTCTCTGATCTTCAGCTGTGTCAGAACTACACGTATTCATCGTAGGTAGCCCATGTAGACAAACCAAGAGTACACAGCAGTCACGACCGTTAAGTGTTGGGGGCAAACAGCTCTTCGCTGGGGCGTACACAGGAGGAGTAGCAGTGGCGAAAGTTGAGACGCGGATGCTGTGGCGGTGTTGTTGCAACGGTTTATCTATTTACACAAAACAATGATGTATCCAACAACATCGGCAACAGCAGGATATAGAAGGAACATTGTTACAACATGCAGCAAAGAGACACCTCGAGGATGGAAGTGTTGGGAACAAGCATCCTGCGACGTAGATCTCCCCTGGGAAGTGTTGGAAACAAGCATCCTACGACGTAGATCTCCCCGGGAAGTGTTGGAAACAAGCATCCTACGACGTAGATCTCCCCGGGCGGAGTTAGCACATTCGCTCATGCCGTTCCGTGCCCAATGTTGAAGACCTTTTGGCCACCAACAACAATGCTTTCACCCACGGCGACCAATTGTACTCAGGGCATCTGCAACGCCAGCTATGAGATCATCACGTGGACGATGAACTGCCCGGAAATCCAGAACGACCGCACGGCGTTCAAGAATTCTGGCTTCGACGCACTCCTGAGGAAGCTCCCACCCGACTGCTTCATCGTTGGCGACGCCGCCTACCCGGCGTCGAACCAAGTGCTCGTCCCCTACCCAGGCACTGCCCTCACCCTCAGCCAAGACGCGTACAACTTTTACCAGTCGCAGGCCAGGGTCTCCATCGAGCAAGCGTTCGGCATACTGGTGAGCACTCGAACCGACGCCACTCTTTTTGCCGCCCTCTCTCGTGCCTCTTCGAAGAGACTATTGTTGAGAATGTTGTAGTATTTCGGTAACCACCTCTTTAGTGTCAATGTTCTCGACTGGAACGCGAAAATGATTCAACATTGATCCGTAGCACGCAGTACTACATAGCTGGGCATAGCCGGACGTGTCAAATGCGCGTCTCGCCTCCCCCATCTGGTTCTATCCCAAAGTTTTAATGGGTACATATCGGCGATTAGTTCAGGGGTATGAAGTACCGACCAACCAGGTGCCGCCGTTCCCGCCTAATACGATGACAGGTGAAGACGTGGGGAATTCTGTAGAAGCCGCTGGCGATCCGACTAGACCGCGTCGGCCACGTCATGAACACGATCGTTCGGCTGCACAACTTCTTGCGACGTCGCAGGGCCCCCCGTCCCTCAGTCCGCGTGGAAGGTATCTGCTCCCGAGAGCGTGACCTTCCACCCTGACGGGAGCATCAGTGGGAGCTACTACGACACGGTGCCCGCACGGGGCAGGCCATCGAAAGCTGCGGAGGTGTCCATGCCTCGCGAACTCATTCGTGACTACCTGGACCAGAAATCCATGGGGCGACCGAGATTCATCCTCAACCGCAACGCCAACCGTGTCATCTAAAAAGCGAGGGGCACGGGCCCTCGTACTGCGTGTGTTGTTAATGTTTCGAGTTCCTTCATTCGTCGCAATTGTTTGTAGTGAAGGAGTTTTTGCTGGGTCCATACGATTTTTTTTTATACCTAGAACAGGTGCTTTTTACGGCAACTGGCTCGTGATCACGTGAGGCAGGCGTCTAGAATGTGCTGAGCGGAAACTGGAACGGTTTCTTTATGTTAAAACAACGGTGGGGGGCGAGAGGACGGGATGATTTGGAGGTGGGACGTGGTGTAACGCAACGGCGAGTCACATGTACTGAAGGGGGCATGACGGAGCTGGCTTCTAGGTGACTTGACACAGCTTTCCAACGCAGTCCCGCGTTTCGTGTCTTCGTGTGTTTGGGGGGGGGGGGGGGGGGGGGCAGAGAGATATAATAGTTGGGGAGACAGGCCTTCTGCCGCGTGTGTGTGTGAGAAAGAGAGAAACGTGCCGTTCTCCACACACCTTACACAAACAAGAAATGTCCTAGGCAAGTTGCCAAGGGGTGAAGCGGTGTGTGTTGAAGGAAGGAGAGGAAGTTAAGACGCATGCCGGTTGCATGAGTCGTTCGGGGGCAGCACTTACACCACGTGTCATGGTCGGGCGGGGTGGGTTCTGCACGATGGTTTCAGAAAATCATGCTTGCAGCAAGCGGCGGCCGCTTGAGTCTCGTGCATGCCGCAATAATTCGAAAAAATTAACGAAGGGCAAAAAGTCTGGTACTAGGAGCGTCGTTTGACCACGTTCCTGACGACTTCGATTTTTTATTCACCTTCGGACTCAAACGCGAACCGCGACAAAAAACAATCCCATCATAGCGAAACGCAGCACCCGTTTTGACGCTGTTGATCGCGTGCATAAGGAAACGACCCTGCCCTTCCCTCGCCTTTGTGTCAAACACACGTGTCACCTTCGCTCGTGGAGACCATTTGTCAACCCGCACTAATATTAGCACCGAGAAACACTTCACCAAAAAGGTGAAGTGGGTCGCGGTAGAACGGATTCACTCCGCTACAACAAATATACAATGAAACCAAACTCCACCCCCATGGCATGCAAGCGGAGCCACGTGCCCGCTGGGAAAATACGGAGCCTCCTTCATAGGAAAAGCATGTAACCACGAAAAAAAACGGAGCCAACAACAGTCCGTCTACCCTCTCACACCGGGAACCAATAAACTGCAGAAACACTCGCCCTTCACGGAGCTGTACCACGTTCACTGACATTTAAGCGTTTATAGAATTCAAGAATTTCCCACGGCAGAAAAGAGAGGTAGACCCCCCCCCCCGGCAAAAAATGAAACGGATGTAACGACGCGAAGCTCCCGAGAGCAGCAAGCTATGCATTACCGCGTGCTTAGAGGGATGAGTCGTGCTCGTTCATGAGGGCTTTCATCTCCTTCTCCCGAAGGGAGAGAGCTTGCTCTGTCGCACGGCGCGCTAGGGCACTGCAGTTTTGAGGGAGACCGTCTACGTCAGCTTGGGCTTTCATGGCATTTTTGCTCGCTTCGGATAGCTGACCAGCCACGTCGGATTCTGCACACGGTTCCTCGTCCTTAGCGTCCGCTTTTTGGAAGTTCACGATAGCGTCTACTGCCGCCTTCATCGCCTCAACTGTTTTGTCTCCTCGTTCGCCCTTCTACGGGCGGCCTCAGAGGCCTTTTTTTTGCGCCGTTCCTTCGCTGCGCTGTTTGCTTCCCCGAGTTCCTTGCGGGCATCTACACCATCGCCCTCTATTCCGCGGCAACCCGGCCCCCCGGAACGCTTGACCCCATCCCCGTGTCCCATCAGGGATGATCAAATCTCCAACGTGAGACACGCTACCACCGCCCTTAAGTTTCACGACGTCGTGGTACAACTGCACCGCCAGCCTACCTCTGCAGACCTGAAGTGAATCCCTGGCCTGCGGCGTTCCTCCATCTCTTGCTGCCTTGTTTGGTTCTGCTTCTCTTTCGGGCTCAAGGAGCGATCGGCGTGTTGTGCAACGTTGTTGCTCCTTGTACTATTATAGGTTTGAGATTTTATGTGTTTGGACAAAATACTGGTCAAACAACCATTGACCACCTACGGGGTCCGCGATATATTCTCGTCTTCTCTTCCGACATCCGGGTCACAATAAAGGATCACTCCTTTGGAGGGGAGCGGCATGCATGCATCTTTTCGAGATGTACTCACTTTCCTGAAGAAGAACAACATCCCCCAAGTTGATATTTTGTGTCACAACAATTACGAACGACCCTCGACGCTAACATAGAACTCTTCTGGTTTGAACGCGGTGGGCGGATGCCGACATGATCTACCTAACGCCGTACCTTTGCGGAGTCGGAGTCGCTGTCCTCATCTCCGTCTTCGTTGCCGAGGCTATCCCCTCCACTGTCGACAGAACGGTCGTCTAGAGACAAGTTCAGCGCACGCTGGCATAAAAGGGGGGCAACCAATGGGACAAAATGAATATAACGCAAGTCAGGTTTCAAACACCATAACTTTGCGGCAACTCACCGATGGCTGAAGAGCTGAAACAGGTTGGTCTTTGTTTTCTCACTCGAATAATAATAAAACCAGGCAATACACAGGGTTGCGCCGCGCTACACGTTGCCAAAATTAACGATGCTGCAGGCACCAGGTCGACGTGACACGCAAATGACACACCTAGACCGTGTGATTTTTTTCAGGTTGACCACAAGGACAAGTCGTCCCAACACTGTTGTCTCAACACTGTTTTTTCAGGCAAAGGTCATGGCAGGCTTTCGATCGCTGTGTCATCCACTTGTGTATTTGCTGCTGCCGCTTTTTGGTTGTCCCGTGCATAAACAGCAGTCAGACTGCCGTGTTATCGTAGCTCGCTTTACGGGAGCAGTCAGGAGCAAACAAACCGCTCTGTTGCCCGGTGCACGTTCGGCCACAGGAGGGGGGGTAGCACACTGCTGTCGTTTCGTGCTTGTATCTGCCACCCTCGAGTCTAACTTGCAGCACTCAAAAGCACGTTTCGATGCGGTGGCAGACGCAGCGTTTGTGCCACCTATTTCGATCGTGTGCTTTTTATGTTCGAGCAGCTTCCAACGCTCATCACTCGAAAACACGAAAAGTCGGCTAGCCAAGAGCGCACGCCACGAAAGATTTACGTCTGCACGGAGAACTCTAGAGCCTCTAACGCAACGTATTGCAGTCTCGAGACTCCGTGGTGTTTCACCTGGCTACCGACGTCTTCTGCTGACGTCCCGCTGCTTTCGCCGCCGTGGGCCTCGGAGGAACCGGCGAGGGTGCGGTTCTTCCTCTGGGAACATGGTGGAGGAACAGCGCAGACGACGAGGACCATGGTGGGATGGCACGAAGTGGAGGCATCTCAGATAGTTGCACTCGAAACATATTGCATGCAATCAAACACTGGGCTAAGCATATATGGGAAATGCTATGCTTCCCCCTGCTACTGCTCCACGGTTGGCTGCAAGCAGCCGCAGCACACAATATCTTCACCGCTGTCTTAAATCTTTCAAGCTGTACAAATAACAAGCGCGACCAACCTACATCGGTAGGTGGCACAAGATAGCACACCGCCGATGTTGAAAGCTCGACTACTCCATGAAGCCGAATCCACAAATACACGAAACGCTTAATGCTCTTGACGGCGCGGTTTCAATGCAGCCATCTTCTGCACCACCACTCTTTGTGACAGAGCAATTGAGCTTTGCCAACCGGTCAAGGGGGGGGGGGTGATATCTTGTGTCACATACGGTTGCACTGCCTTGACACTTACAAGCCTGTGCCTTGACATGTACGCTGCTCGGGCCTTGTTGCGTACAAACGACAGCAGCTCATACGTGTTACCTTGGATGCAGTAGCACGAGGGGGCCCGTCTTCCTCGCCGGAAAGGTTGTCCATGTCCAAGGGGCTGAACGCGGGGGGCTTTTTCTCCGGCTGAGCTCCTGGAGCTGCTGGGCCATGTCTGTGCTCCTGTCGAGCTCCTCAGGCACGGGTGCCCCCCTTCCACCCACATATGGCGTGCTTGCTTGCGGCAGAGGCGGCGATGGAGAGCCGCGCAAGGGGGCAGGCGTGCTTGTGTGCGGCAGACGCGCCGTCATGAACTGCGGCGGCAGCTGTGGAGGAGCCGCCAAGTGGCTGCTCTGGGGGAACGACATGGGATGCCCACCCAGCGATGCGAAATCCTGCCGCGGTCCTCCAACCGCAGGGATTGGCGCCCAGCTGGACCCGGGCGAGTGGTACGACTGCTGCGACTGGCGCTGCTGTAGTGGGACGGAGGACCAACTTGCAACATAGCCTCGCGAAGGTAGCTGCTGGTGCTGCCGCTGGTGCTGCTGCTGATGATGATAATGCTGCTGGTGCTCCCGATGCTCCTCCTGCTCCCGACGCTCCTGGGCACGCCCCCCGCCTTGCGAAGAGGACATCCTCTCCTACTCTTGCGCAACAAGGTGCCCAACCGTGGGTGTGCTTGTGCGAAATCCGTGCTGGATTGGTATCGCGGCGTGAGGTGGTGATCCTTTGATCCTTTCCCCCGCGTCACGCGGCTGCTTTCTGTGCGCCACTGCGTCACTTGCCGTCGAGTGGACCGTGGTCCCGCAACTATGGACGCTGTTCACCCAAATCGGGATCCGATTCAATGGTTTCACCTTTTTTCAAATCCCGATTTAGTTTTGGGCCGTCCTGTTTTAAAGTCCTAAAGGTTCGGCGGTCGAAATCACTATTCAGCCAATCAACAGCAGAGTTCCTTGGATCTTCCGGTCTTATAACCAAAGCTGAATGTGATTTCGAGATGCGATTGTTCCGTTAAGACCTACCCTTACGGTGTGGTGAACGCAGCATTTTGTCCGATTCAGAACACCGCCATGTGCTCAAAGTGTCACCTACAGTATCCCTTGCCCGGCCTTGTCCTGTGTACATACAGTTCAAGTATGATTTTGTGGGAGATGTTCCGCTAGAAGCTGAGAATCGAGCGCGGGATTTCGTAGGGGACGCGGTGACACTCTATGCTGGCACATGCAGACAGTGCTGTTAAAATGGCATGGTCGATGATGATTGTTGTTGCTTCTCCCCGGATGTACCCGCAGGACAAGGGTTCAGCAGGGCTGCCGCCGGAATTACGCCAACGTTGCCACCGCCCGCTCGCGGGAGAAGCCGTCGCTTGACCTTATCTGCTGTACCGGAAGCGTGGAGGATGACGGTACGACGTGGTGGCCCGTTTTGTGTCCGTGTTGAGTTGGTGCAAAGTAAGTCCATACTGAACAGGTGTGGGAAGCGAGCGAGGTGTGCCGCGTGCAGCATGGGATAGAGGGGTATGTAGCGAAATCGACCGCGGAACCCCCTCCCGGAGGCTCCCTGTAAAAGGGGAGGAGGCAACTCGATGGCACGAGAAACACTTTCCTCTTCTGTTTCGAGGCCAGCGTGGAAGTCCTCTACAACTTGAACATACATATTACAATGCCTTCAACATGTGCATTGTCGTTGGAGTCAATCGCCTCTCTGCAAGAGTCGTTGATTGGCATCGATCGGTGTTTGTTTTACCTTTCCGGACGAGGAGAAAAAACCGGTCTCGATTTGTTTTTCCTTGGGTTGATCGATAGAAGCTCTTGCGGGGGGTCAGACGAAACTGCCTCCAAACACCCACCCTGCGGAGCATGAGCATCTCCGCTCAACATCTCAGTGCGCGCCACTGCATCCTCTGACCGGTGCTGGAGTCTGTTCGCCCCCGACGGCGTATTGTAGGCGGTCGATTTTCGAGGCCTGAACTCCGCCCTATTTCTGCTCCTCCGTCGCTGTTCCAAGGGCGCACTATCTGCCTCCCCACCCTCACAACCGCGTCATCAAAACTTATCTTGTGTTGTTTCTCAAACACGCTGGTGTTTCTAGTGTTTCTAAATGCGAGCTGGTGTTTCTAGAATATTGTTGTCTCACAAAACAAGCTGCTGTTTCTCCCTCCCTCTCACGCGAACGCCCCCCCCGCTCCTGTGCGGACACACGTACATGTCGTTTTTCGTGCGCGAACCGGAACCGGCCCGACAGGGGTGTGCATCGGGGGTGGAAGCCGAACTACCAAGACCCTCACCTCAAAGCTGGCATTCGTCATCCCGCTCGCCGCACTGGCGGTCAACGCGTTCTGCGACTGGCTCGCCGGAGGCGCGACCCCTTCAAGAACGTGAGCGGGGCAATGGTTGCCGTTGTTGTTCGCTTCGCGATGGTTGTTCATTTTTGTTCAACGTCTATCCGGCTATCCGGTGTATTCCCTGCCAACCATTTCTAGGTCGTACGCCTCTCTTTGGAGTAGTGGGGGGTTTTACCGCCGTAAGTGGTTTGATTTAGTCAAGCACGGGAAACCGCCAGGAACCCCGGCGTGCGGAAGGAGTATACATAAATAAGAGTATCCCACACTCCCATGGGATATCCCCGCGCCAACCTGGACAGCCTACGACGTCCTTCCTTCTAGCCTCCCCCTATCTGCTCAGCGAGACGTAGGCGTCAAGGGTTGAGTTTGTGTCATGAGTGGAGTAGCGTGGTGTCGGCATTGGATCCATGAATCACGGTGTTGAGAAGATTGATGCGGGATATCTACCCCGAACAAGTGAGGGGCACCTTGACGGGGGTTTTTGCGGGGTGTGATTCTCGTGGTAGTGTGACCTCTCTCTTTCTCGCTCGCGAAATCGGGCAATGCCACGCGTGGATGTATCCGCCACCGCGTATTAGTGTAAGCGTGAGACTGCCGTGAGGTGTATGGTGCTACCTGAGAGTCTCCGTTTTGCGCGTGGCGAAGCCGTGCCGGTGAAAGGTTTGACAACCTACTCGGTAAACCGGCACTCTCGGTATGTGTCCCACGAGAACGTTGTCACCCTTGAGAAGACGGCAGCTGCTTTTATAGGGTGCCCTCAAGCTTGCCTTGCTCTTCTACAGCCAGCAAGCACGCACCTGAGGGCGTTAGTGACATGGATACGCAAACCTTGTGTCGCTGATCGTTCCCCGTGTTTGTGTCTGCGCAAAACGTGCGTGTGGGTTTGCGTGCGAAACCTCCCTTTTCGTGCAGGCGAGCTCGGTGGAACCGATTCTTGCTGTACGTGGCCGTCATACTGGGCCGCACCTTGGGCTTGTACTTGGGCTTGAATTACATCCAGGTGACCGCGCGACACAATGTGTTTGTGTGTGTGTTTGTGTTTTGTGGTCTGTGCGGTGAACAAAAGGGAGCGTTACGCATTGGATTTGATATGTTGAAACAGAGACAAGACACACGCGCATCCATTTGAGGAGGGGGGCTGCCACGGGACGAGTAGATACCGCAGCGCGGAAGACTTGGCTAAGAAACACGCACACAGCACACGCAACAAATCGAACCCAAACACCGAGCACTCCGTACCATAGGGTACAGCAGCGCCGGCTTCGATATGAGGAGAATTAATCTCGAAGAGTGTTCCTGAACGGGGAGCCTTGTGTGATGTGGTTACGTACCACGCAGTATTTGCTCTTATGTACCGGCACACTTATCGTCCTCCTGGGGTCCTTACCTCGCCATCATCGATCTCGTCGTTGGACGCCCGCCTTCCATTTGCATACAGTCCCCTTATCGCGTCACAAACGTGAACGACCGCCCACATGTATGGCCGCGTCTCTCTCACACCAGCAGCAGAACGATTTCGCACCTAGTTGGAATAAATGCGCAATCACCATGGTTTAAGACAAAGGCCGCACGAACGAATCCCCTCCCCCCTCCTCCTCCGCTGCGCCCCAACAGGGTCTTGTTCAGTCCGAGGAATCGAGCAACTGCTGGTACGCGCACCTCAGGCGCAGCGGGAAGTGTAGCGAGCACTTCGACTTCGCCGACCATGTGGTCCTCGCCGTGTGCCAGTACTACGCGATACAGGCAAGTCCTTATCGTCGTCGCCATCACCTTTGCATGTTGTGCGTTGCTTTACATGTATATGTATTGCATGACATGGCAGTAAGCCTTCGTCCCATGCCCGCTTGCGGCCATTTTCACCCTGGTTTCCTCACGACGGGTTGTCCGTTGTCGTCGGCAGAGATGTGGAGCGTGCGGTAGGTTGAAGGATCGTGATTTGGCGCGTCGTCTAGCCGTCTACCCTACCTCGATCCGCCTCTGTACGCACGGGAGTGTACTTGGCGGGGAAAAGTCACCCCCGGGGGAGAGGGTAGTTTATAACATCCGCCACCTCGTGGGGAACACACACTCAGTGATATCGGACACATGCTGCGAGGGGGCGTCAATAACCGGTCATTGGACTTGGACTTGGACCGGTTTTGATACCGTTAGAGAACGGCGGTGTAGGGTCGGGAACTCACCATGTAGTGTCACGTTATCGACCCGGCACCCCCCTATTTCAATCCCGACGTGAAGTTTCAGGAGCCAATCACACAGCTTGAAATATTCTACGCGAAAGTTGGGATAATAATTCGATAACGGCAACGGGGTTGCGTGCTCCTGTGTTGCTCGAAACAGAATTGAAGGTTTGCGTGGAACCCCCCCCGGTGCTCTCGACAGGCAAAACATTAACAGAACAATGTCTACTTGTCCCCGCCGCCCGCTTACTCGCCCTCCGGCCTCTTTTTATCTCTCTGCACACCCTATCCGGTTCGACCGTCCATTGATGTGCGATGTTCCTCCTCTGCCAAACTTCCAATTGCCCCGCATTGGTTGCGTGTCGTTTAGCTTGCTGTTGATCTACCTGGAAGCCGAGTTTTCCGTGCGCCTCTCGTTTGCTTTTTGTCTTCTCCCCACCTGCTTACCTCCCGCGCACACCCACCCGCCGACATATCGGAAATCGCCCCGCATCGTGTGTACCCCCTCCCAGGTATTCGAGCTCTGCTGCATTCTCCGAGAATACGGAGACTTTTCCCGCCAAGCCGCCGCCATCGCCTCCGGCCTCCAGCGAAAACCATCACCTACTCCATCGTCTCCCTCTTCCTCTTCCACGTCCTCATCGAGATCACCACCACCACAACCGCCGCCGCCATTACGGCCGTCGCCGTTCCTGTCGGTCCTTCCCGCGGCCGCCGTCTGCGCGGCGGTGGCGGGGGCCGCGCTTCTCCTGGTATACGATACGGCCGCGCTCTTCCACTCCAGGGCCGAGACCGTCGCCGCACTCGTCATCTCCTGGTTCGTCGTGGGCGAACCCCTGCTGAGCTTGACGGGCGGTGCGGCGGTGGCGGCGGGCGGCGGCGGCGGGACTGTTTGCTAGCGGTGTCGGGAGGTTCCGGGGGCGTGGGAGGCGTGTGTCTTCGGCCTCATCCCCGTCGGTCGGGCTGATGTGATTTTTCGACTGGTGTTGGATTTTGTTTTCGCTCTGCTGGCTAGTGTACGTAGTGCTGTAGTTGTTGCTCTGCCCGCCCGAACGTGATGGCCGTTTCTTTTTCGGCTTGCCAAGGTAGGCCGTGGTCAGAAAGCAGTTTGCCAGCCTCTTCAGTGTAGTTTTTATATGCTGCGGGAAATGTGGGGCTTGAAACGGTTGAATCGATTAGCTGGAGGGGCGTCTTTCTTCGAAGTTCGAAGGGCGCCTTTTGGATACACAGCAGTAGATTCGCCGCCGTAGGTGTGGTGATAAAACCTTTTACGAATGTGGTGCGATGGCATGGCACCACGACGTTTTCAAATTCAGCGTAGCGTAGATGAACGTTCAAATAATAGTTAGGTTAGGCCGGTCTGTCGGCGAATGGGAAAGTGGGTGATGCGCTGATGGACTGATTGGTCTGGGCGGGCGTGATGAACTTGAGTTAATGGATGGCAGACACTTCTCCACGACCGAGGGGACTCCTCTCACTGATGTTGCTACCATCTTCAGTCCTTCGAGTCGTTTTCGGACCCCTGCTGCTCTAAAGCGCCGGAAGTGCTGCCTGCTTGTGCCATTCAACTCATGATCACAAGGGCTCACCTATTGCTTGTAGATTGTTCGTGGTGTTATTCCGACTAATTTCCGTGTACATAGAATGGAGCGAAAACAACGGGCACGGGAGGGAGAGAAGCCGCACTCCGCCTGGATGGAACGCCAGTACAACGGTAAGTGCTTTTCTGTGAAAAAAAATAGCCCGGGGCCTCAACTTGAGCCCGTTCCTTTTTGCCAGCGGCTTCACGAAAGGAAGGGCAGTCTCGTGAGAGAATAATCTCGACAACGTATATAACCTTGATGTCCGGCAGCTCTCCATCGCGTTCGGGATGCATTTGCCAGCTGCTGAAAATGTGTCAGAGAGACCAGAATACCGATAGATTGTTGTGCTGGTCATGCAAAAAACACAAAAGAAAGGCAAACCGTTGTCGTCCCATGGATGAATGCATTCGGCAGTACCGTGTGGTGTTTCAAGAAAGACAGAAGACATCAGTGCTTCTGCAGCACCACCACCACCGCTGTAATTGTTGGTGCGTTGTCATGTTTATGGGGGGGCGGGGGGCGGTTCGCCGTTCGCCATGATTCAACCGCGCTTGTACGTGCTGCTCGCGCATGGATGCATGTAACTTGTCCAATTTCGCTTCTTCCCTAGAAAGAAGTCTGTTCCGAAATATCGATTGTCTGCTTTCGGGATAGATTTTTCTTTCTTTGCTTCTCATCTTTCGTGTGCGTCCCGTTCGAAGAGGGGCTTGATGTCGTGAAGGTTGGCGACTACTTTGAAGTATTCAACACTTAACTTTTCGCCATGGGTTCGGTTCACCCAAGCAAGACTGGGCCCCGACCCCTGCCAAACTCAGTACTCCCTCCGCATTCGGTTTTTGGGTTCTCAAAAACTGAATTAAAAAATAACAGCCCGGGGGGCAGCCCCGGCCTCATCTGAAGTCCTTTCTCCTTTTATTGGCCAGGGAAGGTACATCTATCTATCTATGTGGAGGTCGAGGATGATAGTATTGTTGTTCGCGGTGATGAAGAAGATGTTGAACGAAGGAAAGAAAAAACATTTTTCCTCGTCCTTGACTTGGCATTGGCATGGGTACCGAGTCGAAAAAACGACAGGTGGCCGTCAGCCGTGACCATGGTAGCCATTGGCGTCGTCATATGATGAGGATCGGCAAGGCTACGCTTTGTCGGGTATAGACGGGGAAGCGTGAAACGCAGATTTTTCTCCGGTCGTCAGGTACGGGAGAGAAAGACCGAGGGCAGCCCCGATGGGTTATTAGTGCGAAGATAGAGGTGGTGGAAATTCTTTGTGATGGTCCAGGCACATACATGTCTGCAGCGCGACGAATACCGCAACCAAACGGCAAACCGCAAAAAAAGAAACCAGAAACCAGGCAAGGCCAGGCGCGATGATGAGTCATACACGCGCAAGGGCAAAGTGGACCAAGTTCCGCCGAGTCAAACACACGCGGGAAAATGAAGTCGAAATAAAAGCGTTAAGTAAAGGCAGTCCGACCAGATATGAAAAGGAAACCTCGTGTAGTACAGAGGTACGATACATGTATCAGGTACTAATGAAGGACGACGAGGAGAATGAAGGCGTTAATTTATGTCGAGGTCGAGCAATCATAAAACGCCACTCGACAAAATGCGGAACCGCCGCAAAAAGAAGTGCACAAATGAAACACATCCATAACCAGTACGCAGACCACTCATAGACACCCAAGGGGGAAGTGGCATGAAAAAAACCGTTCCGATCTCTCTCTACCCAGTACCTTCATATGTCCGTACTGATCCAACACTTGACGCGGTCGATTCCCGTGGTCACAGGCTAACTTACCCTAAAAGGTACGCTCAAACAAAGGGGTCCGCAAGTCAATAGAAATCAACGACAGGTATTCTGGAGTCCTCCGCTCCCTCTGCGCGCTATGCGAGGTAACAACTGAGACTAGGAGTGAGCATCACGGGGCAAAGAGAAAGAGGTACACCCCCTTGGTTCAATCTTGGTGCTTGCCGGTCGCCCCGGTGATCTAGTTGGTAGCCTTGTAACCTTCTAAATAGAGGTCAGGTCAGGGGTTCGAATCCCGGCGTAGGCGAGCTTTTCTTGCAAAGTGAGTTTTTCTCTCGCTTCCGCTCCTGGCCAAGTGGATAGCGCTAGTTCGTGTGTACACAGAGGGAAGAGAGTGCTGAACTCTTCTCGCATTAAAAATTGAAGGCGAAGTACCGCAGGAGGGGAGGGTAGAGAGAGGCTCTTCTGTGTGACCACGGGTTGGAATAAACGGCACTACAGATGGCGCCCGCACTTAAGAACATCTTAATTTGCGTGAGGCTGGGGTTCTTAGTTGCCTGTTGAGGCTGCGAATGGCCATTATATAGGTTTTAGTGTCAGGTTCTTAACGGGGACCACTAAAATACGCTCATGTTCATGAGTTTTGGATTTTTTGAGCCTCATGTTCTTAACAGGTAGGTTCTTAAGTGCGGGCGCCATCTGTAGTGCTGTGAGCGCTGATTTGAAGTGAAGAATAAAAAAAAAAAAATGCAAGCAGAGACAAGGCCATCTGACACAGAAAAAGAGAGAAAAAAGAGCGACAAAGAGAAAGATAAGTTTTGTACACACAACAACGTCATGATGCATACTTGAGTGCTGGTGAATGTGCTCTGCCTTCGAGCACTGCCTTTTGCCTTGCCTTGCTCTCAGTGGTGATCGGTGAAAGTTTGAGGCATGTTTCACTCACTGTTAACAGGGCTGTGTCCTAAGTCGTCGACTTTCGTGCATGATTGATTCTGTACCAACCGTGGACGTGCTCTCACAAGCTGACACAAGCGTTAGCACGAAACTCGCAGGAGGGGCCGTACGGGCCAGGAGAGACACCTCTTCCAACCCACACGAAAATCTGTCGCTGCAATCTCCAGAAACATGGACCGAAGAAAAACAACTTGCTTTTAGAGACCGGAGATCGCCTACTCTAAAACCAAGTGAAATGCAGAAAGTGGGGTCACTTTTTGGTGGGGTCACAAAAAAGCGGGGTCACAGAAAAGTGGGGTCACAAAATAGTGGGGTCATTTTCGAAAATAGGTTCTGAGAATATCGGCGACAGAAACTGAATCCCTATCGGGCTTCAGAACAAACGAACGAGCACGACAAAAACACCAAGACAAGTGACGTCACGCGACAAAAACGACCACACACGGATCACTATCAATCCAAATCGACAAGGGGATCCTCATCAGGGACACAAACGGATTTCACTGTACCAGCAGCAGAGCAGAGTTAAAAGGCATACAAGTACCCCATACCCACAAAAAGCAGACCCACATCATCACGCCACCTCTCCACCACGCAATACAACCCCTTCGTACCATAAACCCGGTGGCTGCGTAGGAGTCGCCGAACCGGCAACAGCAACGAACAACGGCGTTGGATCACCAAAGAGGGGTGGTCGGGGGCGCCGCCGTGTGAACGAAGACGACCCTGGCCTGCTTACCTTCTCAATCGTTTGGGCTCTTAAAGTTTCGCAATCTTTTTGCCACAAGCAAAAGCCAGAACCTGAACATGGCCTTTTCACCTCAAAACGACTTTCATCAACAACGAACGGTGGAAACCAACCCCACTTCATCCACATCACGCAAGGCACTTCATTCGAATCAACCAAATCCAAGCGTGCCTTTCTAATGTGAACCACAACATCTAAGCCCTTCCGTTACAAGATACAATACTGCGCTTTTCCATCTGTCGTGGAGGACATAAGCAATACACCGCCGCTACCGCTTTCTGCGCCAGAACGGCGTTCTACACGCTGCTCTTGTGTATTTTCTGTCTGCCGAGCTATACGATAAACAGCCCTCCGCTCGCGGAAGCAGTCGCCGCTTTTCTCGCCTCCGCCGGTGCAACCCCGCCCGAACCAGCGCGAGCGCCGGCGCCCCGTTCGACCGTCGACGCCGCCGCCGCCGCTGTCACCGCCGCTCCTCTCCCCACGATGGCACCCTCTCCTCCATCTAACAAAGGTCCCGTCAGGCCTTCCCCTCCTTCGGCGCTGCTCACCGACAGCCAGTCTTCTCCGTTCCCTCTGCTAAGCCTGCTGCCACCGCCGCTGCCACCGCCGCTCCCGCTGCCGCCGCCGCTCCCGCTCCTTCGCTGCTGCAGCAGCTGCTGCTGCCACGTCACCGGCCACGACACCGGCCTAGACAACCCACCCGACCCGCCCTCCTCCCCCCTGCCCCCCCCCCCTTCGTTTCAATTCTACTTCC